TGTCACGCACGTATAGATGATTATCGCCGAGCAGGAATATTTCGAACAATAACTCATAGACGACGCAGCACCAACTAGTAACTGGAGCGGATTGATCAATTATTATAGGGATATCTGATTGAAAAATGGTTCAACGATTTTTTTTTATTCTCGAATTAAACATTCAAGTTTAATTGTTAGAAAACTTAAGATGTAACTAAAATTATTAACTAAAACCCTAAACCCTATCACAATTGTCACATGCCCAGCACTGAACTCATCAATTATTAACATCTGAGATAAGCATAGGGCAGCTAGGGGCTATCTGTAACGAGAGTTACTAGTAAAACAGGCGATATTCAATAGGATCTTAAACCATATTAAAATATTCTTTTGTCTCGATTGGACATGTAAACTGTCCTGCATAATATTATCATAGTACTACAGGCCGAAGCAATAAACAGAACTGTGTAAGTCCGTCATTTTTGACATGTAATATAAAATTGATCTATCATATAATTGTAGTTTGCATTGTTATTATCGATTAACTTTAAAATTAATGTATTTTGTTTCGTTCCAAATTTAATCATCTTTGACAATGTAGAACTGTTTAAGCCAGTTATAGCTAACAAAAATTATATACATATTCAAGTAAAAAAGATTAAAGAGAATATATAGTTTGTGATATAAAATATGAGCACACGTAAAGAATTGTCAGTGATATTATTGTCGTTTTTTGGCATTAACAATTGTAGAATTATTTTTACTTGATACGGTAGAGGAATAATTACAGCAACTATTCATCTTCATTTTGTAGAAATATAATCAGTGGATTTCAAGATATATTATTTAAAAAATAAACTAACAACAATCTCCTTGCAAAGCTTCCCTATTATAGTGCCATATAGAAGTAACCCTTGAACATAAAATTATAAGATTTTTCATACATGTTCTATTTCTTTCACAATATTTAAGATTTATATCAATAAATGAACACAAAAACTTGAAAATTCTTGTTAAAAATTTATGAAAATTCTGCTGATATTTGATACAGATGATATACTGACTATGAAAACTTCAATTATTCGTTATTAATTGGAAAGTTCCAATTTTATTGGAAACTTTGGAAGTCAATTTTTATTCTAAAATTAGTCTTTTACCTAATTTCTATGTAATAGAAACATATTCTATGTCAATAATAAATTTTAAATTTACAACGACCAAGATATAACTATTTTTAATATTAGCATATTTTAAGCAAAATGCATATTTTTACTACACCTTAGGTTCCATACTAGGTTATAATAGTATTTAAAAAATTAACGAAAATTTTGTTTGCAGCAATCAAAACTAGGGATTCTATAACTCTCGTAAACGATACGTACTTCTAGATTTATTACATTTACGATTGCTATTAAACGGCAATTTAGTTATTGTTCTTACTAATATGTAATATTTATTTTTACTTTTGAACAATATTAGAAGTCGATGGTCGTCGCAAATGCCTGAAGGACTATTTTTACTTGGAAACATTCGGAACTATATTTTTATGTGAAAACAAATACTGCTTGATATCTGCGTGCACGTATTGCGGGATTTAATTACGTAATCTCGTGGTTTTAAGACCAAAGCTCTAATCACTTACGACATGTGCTACGAATGACTTCAATTCTACCAATAATTAGACTATAGACTATAGTTTATACATTTTTCAAAACATATTTTTTTATTTTTGGAACTTCAAATTTTAAGTATTTTTTAAAGTAATTCTATACCGTTTGAAACTTAAATTGGAAATAGTATGTGTATGTTCATTAATCAAAATTTGATCTTTCGTCGAAGTTTTCTCAAAAACGTCTGCATCGATTGGGCCGAAAAATTTAATAGGCATTTGATGAAAGCTGATAAGTATTAGCTTCAATTTATTTTGCAACAGAGACTCACAAAAAATATTTTTTTAAATGCGTGCAAGAACATAACCGTTGCACTAATTTATCTTCTTAAAATCGAGCTCTGTACTTATGTTACAACAATTAGGCGAGCGCCTCAGGTGAGCGTTACAATTTTATTTCGAGGTACTCCTCCTGAAGTGATGATGTTATTTTGAGTCGGGCGATACATCCTTGCGATGCATCCATCATAAATAACTTGCCGAGGCACAACAGGATATTATAAGATTAATGCTTCCCTTCAAAATTACTTTGATATCGCACTCACGTCAAAATTAGAACCAGAAAATGCAATATGCATCTGATAAGCATCGTGATTTGTGTAATTGGATATCGCTGGTGCATTCGTGATGAACTCGAAACGATTCATTTCTTCGGCTTAATATAGTATTTTTGTAAAAAAATAATTTCGAGCTGCAGACACATATTCTGCATAATGTTAATGAAAGCACAATTTTTAATTGCCATGTTTTTTTGTTTAGATTACTTTATCAGCTTTATTAACAGTTATTCTATTATTCTAAATTCATGAATGTCCAGGCCGGTTATTCTAAACTTCGATATTTTTTAGAAAATTAAACCGTTTTTTGTAGGCCTGTAATGTTTTTCAATATTCCATAAGATAAGGTGACCATATTTTTTAAGCCAAAACCTGGATTGTGAATTTTAGTCCTAATCCAGGAGAGAGAAGGGAGCACTGCTAAGTTTAGTTTTTTAAATCATTTTTATTTCGATTAAAATGACTAACTTAGTAAGAACTTTATTATTCGTTTATGTGACATTTGATGGGTAGTTGTAATTTTATTATCAAGTAATTGCAAAAATTTAATTTAATGCTATACTTTTTGAAAACCTGGAACAATCCGGAATAAAACATCAAAATCCGGGACAAATATTGCTTTTAGAAGAACCCAAGACACAAGGTAAAAATCCGATTCCTTATCAGGATTTATTTAAAAGTTTTTAAAATCGGTGCAGACGTTTTTGAGAAAACTTGTACGTAAGATCAAATTTCAGCATTAAATTTTTTAATATACATACATAGGATTTTCAATTTTGTCAAATGATACTCGAATGACTAAAAACTTGAAGTTCAAATAAAATTATCATTTATTTATAATAGAAATTAGAAAATAATAGTTTCTAAAACTTTTAAATAATAATATTTTTTTATTTGGCCAAAATTTTCAATGTTTTGATTTCCAATACAAATTTAGAATTCTATTTATTGATTTTATATAAAGTTTATTCAGGAATAGTAAAGTTTAACAACTTGCATTGACCAAACTAAAATACACCGCATGTTTTATTTTTTTTTTGCCTAATTTATATCAGTAAATGAACAAAATGACCAAAACTGTTGTTTGCAAACTTGACAAATTATCCCAACTAGTTTGATAGCAATATTACGCGCCTTCTCCAAATAGCGTTCTAAAAATGATTGAATACGATATTTGGATCTTAGACAATAATATGCAATTGTTTTAAAAAAAAATATTCGTAAAGAACCGTACGAAAAAAGTTATTCAAAAGTAGCAATGCGTAAATAAAATAAATTTATTACATAATCATCATTTTTTTAATTTATTAATATTTTCTGCATTCTTTAATAATCTCGGATTTGTATACCTAAAGATGATATTCAGATGCAAATCGAAACGTTGCAATAAAGATGATTTTATATAACTATTAAAATTTAATTTATTTATTTCTCTGAAAATACTTCTATTTTATGTCTATGTGTTTATAGATTTATTTACAGAAACTAACATTTAATTAAGCAAGGTATTTTTGATGTGTTTTAGTGTCAGATATTTTGCCTACATGTTTCAAAACTTTATAAACGTGAAAATGTAAAATTAAATTTAACTTCGATATTGTTGAATTCAATTCAATAATTAACACAAATTAATTTGTTTATTTATTTCCAATTAAATAACAATCTGCCTACAACATTCATGAATACATTGCTACAAAACGCAACCCAAACCTTACTAATTTTTATATACCTACGTCAAATTAAAATTTTTGACTTTACATGCTCGCAGTTACATATATTTTTAAGTAAATGAAAATTCTACATTAGGTACAGCTTGATATCAATTAGTAAAAAAAACTTGATATTTATTAACGATATGAAAAATCTATCAAATATAGCTAGCTTACCAACATTTAAGTAAGATATAATTTAGTGCATTAATAGAAGGGTTTTCCTTTTAAAATTCTATGTTATTTGTCAAACTAATTACTCAATGTCTTTCTATTTAGACAGATTGTAATTTATAAGAAAATAAAAAAAAAAATAAAAAATATAGCTAGCTAAAAAATAAAATTAAACAAATTACAATTTTTGCTCGATTGAAAAAGCGTGATACAACGAGCAGCAATGGCAACAATTTAAAAGGTAGATTTTTATACATAACTGTAAAATTTTGTTCAACTAGTGTTATATAAAATGATAATACTGTTTTGTAGTGAATATACATTGCACGTACACATATTTATAATAGATACTATAATAAAATTATTATTTGTATGTAATATATAAACAAGACTGTTTTATACGTGTAATTATATATATATATATATATATATATATATATATATATATATAATATAAAATGGGTAGTACTGGCCTAGAGCAGGTCCGCAAGCTAAGTTAAACTCCAACTCGAAACAGGGAAGAATTGTGTGAGAAATTTTCCATTGACATTTCGCACTGCAGTGCCCAAATTGAGCAATTTTCAATTGGAAAAAAAATTTGATCTATATTTTCAAGTGAAAATAGACATCGCTACTGCACGATGTCAGGTTACCCTGAGCGGGGTTCGAATTCACGACCCCTGTCCACTCGAGTTTGTGAGCTTAACCATTACACCATGGAACAATATATACATATATATATATATATATATATATATATATATATATATATATATATATATATATATATATATATATATATATATATATATATATATATATATATATGTATATATATATATATATATATATATATATATATATATATATATATATATATGATCTATAAATATAGATTTAAATTCTTACCTTTTTTATTCCTCTTCTGTGTTTGGCACGAACAACTGCACAAGTTCAAAATCACAATAATAGCAAATGCTGCACACACCAACTTTAATTTAGGACGCATTTTGATTTTTTTATTATTTCTAACACATCTAAAACAACTTCAATCACACACTAATTTATAACGCACTCATAATTACAGTTTGCAAAGATCCATATCGTACACTATCACTTCATAACGTTGTAAACAAACGTTGTGATTCATTCACTCTGTGTTACTTAATGATCATTTTTAATAAATTTAATAGAATTTTCAAAATTTAATTGAACGACTGATAACGTAGTAATGATAATAATTACAACATAAAAACAAAAAACTAGGGGTAGTTTACTTACCCCTTTATTTTAAAATTGAACGCACAGTTTCAGGTATGGCACTTAACTCAAATAACGTGCACTTGTACAAAGTTAAAAATTCAAATCAATTCAATTAAAGTTTTAAATACAATTAGTTCACATCACTACCATTTCACGTGTGTAAAAAATTGCAGTTAAGTGCAAAATGTATCAATTAAAAACACCTTTAAAAATTATTAAAAAATATATTTAGAACACTGCCACCACAATTTGTCACAAGTATTGTTTTATTTTGAATTGTTCGATGATTCAATAATTCGTATTAATCCACGTGCTTTGAATGACAATCACTTTTTGCCCAAAAACAAATTTAATAAAATAGTTTAATTAAAATGGACATATACCTGATATATATATATATATATATATATATATATATATATATATATATATATATATATATATATATATATATATATATATATATATATATATATATATATATATATATATATATATATATTATAAAAACAAAGCAGAAAAAAATAAAAAAAAATATTTTTTAAATTTATTAGTATTGTATGTTAAAGTTAATGGAGAAATAGCAAGTACCAAGTTGAATAATTTAATTAATTTATTAAAAATGTAGCTCTTACAGATTATAAATACTATCAATCACCATATATGAATCTAAGTTTTTCCATTCATAAAATATTTTTTTTTACAATTTGATGTTATTACGTCGATTGGGGCAGTCGACGTTACCTGTCAAAAGCACTACCGATTTTCAATATGCATCCGAATGCAACGAGCGCACGTTGCACGACCGCGTCTTACTGAAACTCGGAAGGTTTGGGATTTGTGTAGAACCCCGCCATGCACCGACAAAATAAAAGCATCGGAAACAACGACCCCCCCACTTCTCTTAAGGTAAAACGAACGAGGCGACAACGGCTTATAGACGGATACGCACTGCACGATGTGCATATGTACCAATATCCAGCGACCGAATGCATCGCACTCGAATTTACGCAGATTTACAATTTTACCATTTTTAAGGATAATCAAGGATTTCTATCTACTTTAATGAATATTTAGGAATGAACTACTTTCATGAATATTTATACTCATTTTTTTAAATATTTAATGCTTGCATTTAATTGTATAAACAGTGCATTTATTATGTACACAACAAAATATAGATTAACGAGTTGTGCTGCACAACTTACTTTGAATCATTTTTTTTTATTATATTTTTTAACAGCAATCAGAACCTTACGTCCTATGAGCTGTTGGGCTGAAACTTCTCCTTTCTTCGTATTTTTTAGATGGTAACCCAATGGTTAATCCATCCATATTTGATGATTTTTGTTATTAGAATTAATCTAATAGGGCTGACTTTTTATTGGTGCAGCACTGCCGGGCAAGGGCTATTTTCACTTGGAAACATATTGCTAACTATATTTCCAAGTGAAAATCGTTGTCACTGCTGTCTGACAACAGGCTGCTCGAAGTGGGTATCAAACCCGGGACCTCTGATTCAGATCCCGTCGCTTTTAACCGCTTACCTACGGGCGAACCCTTGAAGCAAATTTTTGTTTTTCAAAATTTTGAATCAAATTTGATTTTTTTTGTGAATTCTTGAATTTTTTAAAATTGTTAATTTCTTTGAACATTAACTTTTTTTTATTGGAAATTTTGACATTTCTTAAAAATTTTAAAACTTTTTGAAACCTACGCAAGTCGGTTGATCGACACTGTCAAAAAAGTCGAAGACATTTTGTTTCAACTAACGTACCAATGGGTGGTTCTCTGAAAACATTATACCTAGGTTAAGTCTCAAAATCAGATTAATTACTAAATGTCTTTTAATTATAAGACAGATTGTAATTTAAATATGACTAAAAAAAAATTGTTTCAACTATAGGTATAAGTGAACTTTGACCATTATAAATCATGGTACGAACCCTAAAAATAAAAACAACTTTATACTTATTATTAAAATGTCTATAAAATATCTGATAATTTGATGTCTATTTGTCTAATAATTATTTTTTTAAACTTTGTTCTGGATTTCCGAAACCGCTAGACCTGCCTCCCCAAACCATTTCTCCATTTCGTCAATACAAGTGAAATGTTTTTTGAATCATTCAAATCGGACGCTCCGTTCTCTCAAAAACTGAATCTCCATTTTTTGCCATTTGAAATCTTTGAAACGGTTGGATCAGCCTTTTTCAAAAATTAATCAACGCGTATCGATCAATAGAAATCGAATGTTTTTTTAATCATACAAATCGGTTGATCCGTGCTCTCGAAATCATACATACTGCATACAAATAATTGTATCTAAACATACAAACATACTGCATACGCACACATACTGACATACATCCTTTTTTTAACGTATGCGTAAATGTTCAGAAACCTTTAAAACGTGCAGATATGCATAAAATTTTATGTTCATTTTAATATATAATTACTATAACTTGTCATACGGGAAGTTACATATGTCTCAAAAATCAATAATTACAGTTATTTAACAACAACAGTTCTAATATATGTTGTTTTGAATATTCTTTTTTACAACGTCGGTTTAAAAGAAAAAACTCAACGGTGATATATTATATTATTATAATTACTTTAATATTGATCATTTTTAATTTAACAACTTGCAGCATCATTAATCTAAAAATTAATATTTAGTAATTATTCTTTTTTTCGAAATTTTTCTTAATTTTTGTAATTTTAAGAAATAGTTCTTCTGAATGTGATGAAACGCCGAGGAAAGGCTATTTTTACTTGGAAATACATTTCCATCTATAATTTCAAGTCAAATTGTCAGCGGTGGATTTCGAACCAGCAACCTTTTGATTGAAAGAAAAAAAACTCTTAGAAATGAGCCACAGTGCCCCATTTAAATATATATATAATATAATCTTTCCTGAAACCCAATAGACATTTACATCCGAGAATGTAACTACACCAGAAATAATCAGAAACAGAAACTAAACAATTATTAAATTGTAACTTATATTTTTATTAGTAAAAAGAAATTTGGAAAATCACTTAAAACTCAACAAAGGAAAAAAATGTTTAACAGAAACAGAAAAAAGGTGCTACATTAGTAGAGTGGAATTATAAGTTAATATTGGAAAATCTCGAAACACGACAGCATTATATAAATTCCTAGAAATTAAAAAATTTCATATGTTGATCATAAATAATGTAAAGCAGTGTTTTTGTCTATAAATTTCCAAAAGTGAATGTAAACAATTACGCAACAATTTTATTTAGCTTTCAATTCCAGTTCAGTCCAAGTACAAGACAAGACTGAAAAACCATCCGAATTGACTTGCGAAAGACTTGCTCTTTCTTCAAACATCCCCAGAAGACTTAAAAAAATAAAATTGTTAGATTTAGTATAGTCAAGATGTAATTTAGATTTATTATTACTTTATCTGTATCTACTTCCCGTTTATTTTGCAAAAATGACTATCACTGGGTAGCATTTTAAAATATTATCTCACACATTGACTAATATTTGTGTATGATTTTCAAGGCAGTTTGTAATTATATGAAAATAAAAAAAATCTTGTAGCCTTCCTTCAAATGCTCAAAATATGAAAGCAGCATCATAAAAATTATTATTTAGAAGTTATTATAAGATGTTATTTAATTGTCGTGATTTCATAAAGTCCCCAAAATAACTTCAAATTACATAATGATGTGATTAATTTCACAAATGTGTTATATTATGTGAAAGCAATATTGTAAAAAAGAAAAGAACGTTAGTAAAAAGTTTCAAAATGTAACAAAGACAGTGATTTACAGAATAAACAAATAAAAATAATTACAATCAACACTTTAAGAATCGATTCCAATAAAAACATAATTGCACCGATACATATGTTAGTACTATTCATTCATTTTTTTCTGTATACATAATACCAAAACTAAATTTAGACATAATTTAGTACTATGTTATTTATCAAATTAATTAAATATTTTTATAAATTACTCCATGTTTTTATATATAGACAGATTGTAATTTATAAAAAAAATTTAAAAAATCATTTTATTACAGTAATGTTAGGTAATAATTTATATTTCAGGTTTACTTCAGTTCGCATTGTTTACAAAACGTCTAAATCGATATCAAGAGATTAAAAAATATGCAACAAATATTAATTTTTTACGTCATTCTTACTTTCATTTAACATTTGAACTAATTGTTAGTGGTCAACAATCAAATCTAAAATTTAGACTTTTATATTGAGCTAATTGTATTTCTAATTTGAACATAGCAGTCATTAGTTATCAGTTTTATACGTTGCACGTCGGTTATAAATATGCGTTCGAACATTCTATAAATGTGAATATAACATGAAAATTTTCTATTTTCATTTTACTTAGTTTGCGAAAAAAAAATTTTTTTTTTAAGTAATTATTTGCAAAATTATAACATAAGATAAAATTTTCAATGTATAGTTTTTAATTAATTAACATTTAATATTTAAGATAAAATTTTCAATGCAAGAGATTATACAAAGAAATAAAAGGCCTTGTTGTATATTATAAACTAATTGAGTAATATTTTCATATGCAACTCTGCATTTATAAAAACTCATGAAAGCATTACAAACATTGGAATTTATAGTGACTCATAAATTTATTTTTGCCCGTATTGTGACTGAACCATTTAATTGTGAACTTCATAATCAAAATCCGTTCATAATAATATCATACTGGAATCTTACTAGAAACAGTCGCTGAAAATTAATCATAAACATAATGAGGATTTGAATAAGAAAAAAGAAAATTGAGATAAATCGATTAAACATCTTTGAAAGATAACATATATAAATATATTTCTACACATTAATTCATTTCCAGGTCTAATAAGAATATTTGTTATTTATATTTAAGATTTGAAAGTAGAACTATGTGTGCTGAATTTTTCAGAGTAGAATAACATGGGACGCATTTTTTTTTGTCAATCAAAACTTTATTAAAGTTTTATAATACAAAATTGTTGAGGTCTATAAAAAACAAAAAAATAAGCCATGGGGCACATTGTTACGAAATAAGAAAATGATAATATAGCGACGAACGATTTCAATCTTCCAACTGGCATATATGTGTATCAAACTATAAGAGTCCCTCTTCAAAGTATATAAACATGACTTCTGTTAGCGACTTTTTAATTTAAATTGCCCTTTAATCAGATGGGTCGACTGTAACAAATCCATAACTTGGTGTACTCTGTTACAGGGCAAGAATAACAATGCTACAATAGTAAACACAGAATAACAACAACTTTGGGAATGTATATAAATCTGCCTGACCGTTTGGTTTTCATTGTTGCAACTTTACAAGAGGAAGCACAATCTAAATGACTTCCAACAGTAACCTAGCCATATGCTAAATGATTATCATTATTTTAATTTCGTTATTTTTTATTTATATTTCGCCTGTAAACTCAAAAATGTTTATCGAGGTTCATTTTTACACTGTAATCGAACAAGGTATCAAATAAGCAGTGGCGTAATTATAGGGTGGCAAATCACCACGGGCCTCCGACCAAGGGGGGTCCCGGTCCAAAAGGCTGCGATACCATAAATTTTATACTGACGACTAGTCGACAATTTGTATGTTGATCGACTACTTTTCTCATTCAAATCTCGAAGTTTGTTTAAATTAAACCGAATGCGATGTGACGATTTTTGCTGATGAGACCCCATGAAAAAGATTGGCCACGGGCCCCTGATGGCACAGTTACGCCACTGCAAATGAGTCATTTTTGTTTATTTAATTATAAACTATAATTTAAAGTTAAATACATGCAAAGAACCTAGAAAAATCGCAATAACTTACCTAATTAGCTAATATATACACCAAGAAATAAATGTCGTTTATATATGTTTCACCACACTGTACGTGTACTACGATTTATTACATAAATTCGATATTTCTAAAACTCGACGGAAATTTGGACCAAAATAACTAAACAATGATGGCCGCTTAAGAACTTGTCTAAACCGTACACCAACATTATAAAAGTAAATTACATAATATTAGACATTTGCTTAGTGGAATATTCTATTGTACTCGATAAATAATATAATCAAAATCTAAGGCTAAACAAGTAGTCGAAAACTATGAAAATGCCGACTTTCAAAACTGAAAATAAATTTATACTCCACTTACGCGTTGAGCGCGAATTGAACCACAGAAGCCTCCGTGGTTCAATTGGCGCTCAACGTGTTAATGTTAGTAAGTGGAGTATAAATTTATTTTCAGTTGTTAACCTGGATGTATGCAAAAGAACCAGTTTTATTGAAATTCATGCAGATGGCTGTGCAGTTATATTAAAATTCATGCAGATGGTTGTGCGAACTTATTGTTATAATTATCTTAATAAAATACTAATTATATAATACGCATTAAACCGAATATTTTGCCATTGTACCATCCTTCTATTTAAGGAACAGAAAAATTAATTTTTTTAAAACATATAGACTAATTTCTTTCGTTTTTTTTTGGTGATTTGATTTACGAATACAAATATAGGCATAAATGTATATTATCGTATACAAAAATCAATAATAGATGTTTATTATTATCACATTATATTATTTAGATGTTTATTATTATCACATTATATTATTTCCATAGGTTGTCGTCACTATACCATTCTCCATCACAATCGACAAAGAAATTAACATTTTTTATATCATAAAGATTAAAGATCCGCTCAGTGATGAGTGCCTAGCTATGTGTGTCTCATCAAAATCAAATCAGTTATACATGTCCTGTTTTTGAAATCTTCAGTCTCCAATAATTTTGATATTATTCAGAAATAAGTTTTTTTCACGCAATATTCTGCTTAATTCCGACATCAGTATTACATGTTAATAATATATATATATATATATATATATATATATATATATATATATATAAGTGAGTTCTTGAGGGCGATACATCAAACAAAGAAAAGCCAAAGATTTATAAAATAATCTTTAATTCCAAACGTTTCGACATTCAATTTAATGCCATCATCAGTGGATATTACATTGGTTGGTTACATCTAGAGAAGTGCACACAACACTAGAGATTGCCACTAACATTTATACAACTAACTTGTCAACACCATGCGAGGCAGATACATGCCTCGGTACTCGCAAAGTACAGAAGTCGTGGCAGAAATTACATAATTTCACTTACATTTTTGTTCAAATAAAACTATCATTTTTCTGTTTACATCATACAAAAAATCATAAAAAATGCATAGTGTTGACAAGTTAGTTGTATAAATGTTAGTGCCAATCTCTAGTGTTGTGTACACTTCTCTAGATGTAACCAACCAACGTAATATCCACTGATGATGACATTAAATTGAATGTCAAAACGTTTGGAATTAAAGATTATTTTATAAATCTTTGGCTTTTCTTTGTTTGATGTATCGCCCTCAAGAACTCACTCATATATTTCAACATCAAAATTAACTACTAAATCATATATATATATATATATATATATATATATATAAAACATACATATTTTCTATTCTTACCTTTATCATTTGAACAAAATATCGAAGAAACCTTCTAAACAATAATTTGTAATGAAAAGACAAAGCACTAGTTACACCGATAAAAAATGGTGAAAATAAGCAGAAGAATTAAGTAACATCATTCCAAATTTAGATTCCGTAACTACGAATTATATGTCCAATAACTAACAGAGCTTGGATGATGCCTACTACAATATTGCACAACTTTGATAAATTGGCAGGTTAATAAACAATACTTTTACAATGTATGTATTAGGTTGTTCATAATCACATTATTTTGCAAAAAATTTCGCATAGGACAATGTTAAAATAACAAACTTTAATTAAAAAGTAAGAAGTTGCTTCAATTATTTAAAAGAAAAAAAAAACTGTAGAATATTTTATAGCATGCTAGAACCTTGTTTTAGTCTTTAATGTAATTCTGTTCTAATTTCCATTTTAATGTAATTTTGTGTGTTCTCAAACAAAATTTATTCACACAGCTTGTGTTTGTCTTCAGCACTATATCCTCAATTTTTTCTATATACCACCTGTAGGAATTGTGCATTATAAAGTGGATTGATTAACTTTGTCTTTTCAACATTTACTAATTTTTCTTAGGCATTGATATATGATATCCGAGTTCTATGTAAGTGCCATCTTCTAATTATTACACATGTGTTATTCAATATTTTCACCAACACATTTTCTATGATGAGCATTACAATTAATACATAAACTTATATAAAAAAAAAAAAAAACGCACTTTCGTGTTTTATATTAGTATTAGTAAATATACATCAGTAGAATCATTCACAAATCAGCTATTCCATATCCAACTATCAAAAAGTATTTAAAACATTCACAGCCTATTCTGGCATTTTGATTTCAGGCATAAAAATTCCAGTAAATTTATTGATAATGCATATTGCTCCAAATTTTAATAACTGATATTTTAAGAAGTCATATTTACTATTTCCTTATCATATAATGTTGACTTATTGGTAAGTTTGGTTAAATTTACAAATTCTATTTCCCTATAATTCATGAATTTTATAATGTTCAGCAAAAATCAAATATATATGAAAAATATTAAAAAAAAAAGAAAAATGTCAACAGAATTTATCCTTTCAAAATTATAATGATATTTCATGCTATTTTCAACTATGTATCATATTGTATAAACAATTATTACTTGTGTACAGGTATAATATAATGAAGCCAAAACTGATGAATAAGAAACTATAACGTAGCAATAGTTGAAATGCTTTTTCATAATCAATCAAGGAAGTTCACAATATATAAAAAAAACTTGGATAAATGTGATAAACATAAAATTTGTTTCTAATGATTTTGCTCTACAGAAAATTTCATCAAAATAATTCATATACAATATTATGTAAAATTAAAATATGTAAGTTAATACAATTTAGAATGATATCAGTATGACAAATTGTGGAAATATTACCTTTACAAAAGTAAAAACAAAAATTCGGAAATAGGAAAAATAAAAGAAATATTTCAGAATAATTTGCCTTATACTTATGAATTTTAAAAGAATATTCTCCTACAAAATACCTTAACAATACCAAAATCATAACACTTGAATATAAAAAATCTATCTTGAATAAAAGGGTTAGGTATTTAAACAATCCCATATATTTCATATTCACAGTCGAACTGGCGCCCCAATAACATTTCACATGCTGAGATAGCCTCTGAATTGACTTCTTCTTCGGCCCACCAAGTATGCGACAAGTACAATAATAACAAGAGCAGCCAAGGCACAGCCGACTGCAATCGGCACAACATCGGGTGTGTCAATTGAGTCACAATCACGGGCTGCAAAACAAACAGTGTTAAAAAAAAGAACCAATTAAAAAAGCTTGTATGAAACATTGGGATTAAAACTTATTTTAAAAATTTGGTTTAACACAATGAGAAAATGTGTAAATCACTTTAAGGATTAATAAATGCACCAGATAACCAAATATCATAATAGAAGTTATGATAAGTTATATATCAAATATTAATGAATTGAACAAAATTGGCACTACAATTTAACAAAAAAACTTTAAATATTTGCAAGTGCTAGCCCGACTTAGGGGTAACTTGACATACAATGTTTGGAAGTACGAGCCGCCAAAAGAACAATTAAAAAATTTTGTGTTTTTATAACAATGGGTCTAAACCTAAACAGCTTATGCATTATGAATTAAAGCATAAAACACTTTTAGATATGTAGTGTGTAAAGAGTTGATATAAAAGGTAAATAACTCCAGCTTAGGGTCTTGTAGAAATTTATAAGCTGTTTTCTGAGCTCTACAGAAGAGCTCTACACTGCGATAGTTACAGAACAAATTAAACTCGTATGTTAGGGTACCACTATATTTCAGCTGATATTTGTATTATTGTGTTATCTTTTATTAACTTTTTATTGATAACGCAGCAAATCCAAAAGATGAGGGTAATAAACTATCAGTTATAATTTATGAATAGTAACTTTGAGCCATGCTTCTAGAAGTATGAGTTTACAGTTATATGAATTTTTTTTTGTAATTCACTAAAAGAATAATTCAAATAGTACTCAACATTGAACAACATCGCTAATAATGCTTCAAACCTGATTCTAATTCAAAACATTTTTTTTACAATGAATTAAAAATCTAATGTGAAACATAACTTTCAATTTTTTCAGAAAAAAAAATGACAACAATAAGCATATAAAACTACAATATTTTTTCCCTTAATTATGAGACTAAAAGTTATACAAAATGTTCATAACATACCTTCACTAAACGTCTTGCTACTATCTTTGTGGAATGCCTCAAATTGTAAATGAGAAAGTTCAATTGTGCTCAAATATTTGTTGTTTTGTGGTTCAGTCATATTCAACTTCTGTTGACGTGTGCAGTGGTATGACATGGACAAAGGAGCATAGATGTCAGATCCATTATATTTTAAATCTAGAGAATCTAGAAAACACAAAACAATTTTAGAAGGCAAATCAAAGTACAGTAATACATAACAATTGTTATAACAGCAGTTGCTATATAGGAGGCAACAAAGTACAGTCTCAATAACATGCTTACTTTCATGATTACAAAGAAAATCTTTTTTTGTAGATAAAAATATTTGTACAGAATAACATATGCTTTATCTTTATAGCTTTTAATAATCCAACTTAAGGAGGTATTTTTATCAAGAAGCAAAGTTTTATGTTATTTTTAAAAGACCAAAACAAAAAATCAAACAATATTTTCACTATAAATAATAAAATAATAAACAATATAATTTTAACTGTCACAAACATTTATATTTGGCATGAAGCGACTGATAAAACTATTCATTTATTAATTAAGTGATATCCATGGCCATAATAACGCAAAACATAAATGTTGTGACATGTCCAAAAATAAAACTTAAATCTTCACTAAGAACTTCATTAAGAGCTAAGATCTGCAACAATCTACTTGATAGACGGGGATACAAAACCAAGAACAATTAAAAACATTGTTAAAAATTATTTATGAATAATCATTATTATAGAAGTAATTGAACTTTGAAAATATAAAAAATGTGAAACTAGAGTTGAATACCCTTTAAATACATTAATCTTTTGATGACTAGTAGCCATTGGCCACACATACTTATAATTTTTTTATACTTTTTTATTTACCAGGCTCCATAGTCTATAATTGTAATATTTGTAACAGAAGCCACACATTGCAATATACTGAAGTAATCTACGAAACTTTATTCAAACTTCAATAACAGTAATGTTATAAACCAGCAATTCGTAAGTAAGAATACATACCCATAACATAGCCTGGAAGTTCATCAGCTGCTAAGTCAGCGGAAATATTTGATAGAGTATAAAATTTGGTAGCATTGTTTTGCAAGAATGTCATAGTCAGACTGTTAGACTTATTCAAGCTCTTGCTAGGCCATTGTAATCCAATATACTGCTTCATATCCACACAGCTACCAGCAATTGTATTTGCATCAGTTGGAACATTAATCAAGGCATAAGCTGTTTTGTTGTCTGAAATAATTAAAACATTTTATATTTAATAAATTAATAATCTTAATACTAAACTAAACACAAGTTAAATGAAATTAAATCTAGTAAACAAGAAATTTTTTCATAATAATTACATGAGTATATTGTTTACGTATGAAATATGGTTCACTATATATTATATATAGTTCAATGCACATATTGTGCACTTATTATCATATTGAAAAATACATGAAAATGGTACAAAATATATAAATTGTTATATTTAAAATCTTAATATACCTTAAATTCATTTATGCAGCAATCTACCAAATTTTATATTAAAGAATATTAAGAAAATAATATTCAAATTAAGCTACCTTGCTATTTCCACTAATTGCCATAACAAATACAAATTTGGTGTATTAAAAAAATGAAAAAAAGCTAAATTATATAAAAATCACGATTTTTGCAAGATGCTCAAGCGATTTGAATTCAAAATAAATTTATAAACAAGACAATATATCTTCTATATTTCAGAGCTATAGAATTCAAGTGAAACTACTCTTTTAATCACAAAATTGTCTTAGTTTTCAATGACAACTCTTATAAGTAATCAAAATAATAATTTCAGAATCGTATTTGGTTGAAATTATTCTGAAATTACGCATTTAGATGAGCTAAGGTTAGTCAAATGCACTTTCAAAACTTGTGTTATCAAAATTATTTACAACAAATACCTAAATTCACTAAATTAAATAAATGAAATGTTTTCTGCTATTATAACTTTCTACTAAATTACCAATAAGTATGGCATTTCATGATTAAAGCATAAAATATAAACAACGATTATCTTATCTGAAATAAATATTACTTTTATCCAAATAGGTAACATTCAATCGAGCAGCCATCTGAATGATAACACAGGTATTATTTGTATTATTATCGGTCCACGTCCAATTTCCAACCTCAGGCCCTGGATTTGGCTTAACAGTGGTAGTGGTGTCAGGTGCGGCAGTTGTAGTTGGAGGTGGAGTGGTGGTAGTTGACGTAGTGGTAGTTGAGGAAGTTGTTGGTTGTTCAGTTGGCTTTGTAGTAGTATCCGGCTTTAATGTTGTGGACTTTTTGGCAACATCTTTTGGCAACAAGGAATCTGTAAGGGTAAAGAAATTTGTATATATGAAATAACATTGAACAGGAAAATATTCTGGACAAAACAACCACTGAAAACGCACCACCATTCTTTTAATCTTATGGTTGTCAAAAAATAACATTTTTTATGTTATTTTGTAAGTATCTTTTTCAAAAAAAGATTGTTTTTATTTGGATTTTTCATTTGAAACATAGCACATAAAAAACATATACATACATTCATTATATATATACATATATATATATATATATATATATATATATAATATTGCACTCTAAAGTATTGTTACTTCAGGCTATGGAAAAACCAGATTAAATGTATTTTGTTTCGTGTATTTTTCGGTATGTATATTCCTGATTGCCGTCATTCATGGCCTAAGATTGACGTAATTAGAAATATGACCCCTTACTATTCAATAAATTATACATTGGAGCTATTCACACTTGAACACAATTTCATTGTTCTGTATCTTTGAAGTAATATTTGTGTATTTTTTGGAAAAGAACGTATACCTAAAAGGTCATAAAACTGCCTGTATGACGAGAAAGCGACAGCTTGCTTCCTAAAGCAAAAACGCAGTAACAGATTTAGTACCAGCTTAGGGAAGTCGGATATGACAAATCCGGTGAGACAACTCCACTCAGATTCACTCCGAGGGAGGAGTTGTATCGGAGTGACAATTCCGGAGTGAGTTCCCATCTCTAATATTATATATATATATATATATATAATACATATATACATAATGTATACAAATGCATACAAATTTCGTTTTCATACATATATTTATAAAAAAATATACCTAATCATTCCCAACCATATCATATGTAAACATAACCAAAACCAGATCATAACTAAAATGTTTCTTTTATTTATCTAACAAAACAAAGTAAAGTTTACGATTAAAATAGTATAAGCCACGGACTCAAAATTCAAGTTCTCGAAAGCAATTTCAAGCCATGTCACTTGCTTACAAAGAATGAGCCAGCAAGTAGAAATTCTGTTTTATAATTTTCCCATGTTTACATATGAAATATGTAATATGTCCTGCATTTATTAGTGAATATTGTTAGTGAAAACAATAATACAAAACCTTTGATATGAATGACTCATCAAACTAATGATGTATCATTCTGAAGTAAAAGACCATAATTTCTTGCCAATTGGTCAAAATCAAGATATGAATTTGATTCTAGAAAGAAATACAAAAAATTCAATATTCAATTTAAGCTTACACAAAAGTATGTAATCGCCTAAACATATAATATTCAATGTATGTATAATTATTAACCATGCCGAAGGCAAAACATTTCCAAATACCCGAAATAATTTTTCATGTTTTACCCAATGCGGGTTTACAAAGAACGTGTATTATTAACTTTACAACAATACATATTGCATACACGCCCCTATTTTCAAACAGTGCATTCATATGATAAGTTTAAATGAAATACATGCTGTATATGCACAAAACGCATACGGATTTGTGTCATTTTAGTCATGGAAGAAAAAATTGTTATTGTGAAATAAAATGGTCGCCTCTACTAGGTTTGCTTCGAATGCTTAATGATTATCAAACTCAATGATTTAAATCATTCTCACATATCAATTCCTAGCATAATTACGACGAAATTGAAGCGACTCGGACAAATACATCGCATCAAAAACATATGAAACTATATGCTGAATACGACGATGTCATTCTGCAACCGCTGCGTAATTTATCAATATTCGGTTTTAATAATACGAAAATCATACCTGCTGCCAAAGAAACTCCAATAATTGCGATGAACCACACAAGGCACTTCATTTTTGTAATATATTAGTCACTTTAATGTTTATCCTTCGATGTGTAACATAAACTTCAGCCGATGACTAGCATATGAGAGATGACAAGTCGACTACGCTTGTGATCATATTCAAACAGACTCGTACGTCGGCTATGTCGCACTCCCTCTGTGTGCGAGCGGGATAACAAATATACTTACTCGCACGTACGAGCGTGAACGTTGCGATAATGGCAAAGCGTTTGAATATATAATCCTGGAATGTATTATCCAGTGAAATTTGAGGATTGCTAATCAACGACGAAAGTATAGACGTTTATTTGTTTCAAATTTCATTTAAGCTGTATGCAATACAGTTTTTTAACTTCCCGTAGGGTAAGTTATAGTAATTACAAAAAAATCGAAAATGAAAATTTTTATATATCTTTACGTTTCAGAGGTTTCTGAATATTTTGGGTTACCCTAGAAAAAATGGATGTATGTGTGTGTCGACGATTTCGGGAACACGAATTAAGCGATTTGAATAATTTAAAAAACATTCGATTTGTATTGATAAGAAGACGTGCTGATTAGTTTTGGTGAAGGCAGGTCTAGCCGTTCCGAAGATATGGGACAAAAAGTGCCAAAAACGGTAACTCAGTTTTTAAGAAAACGGAGCGTCCGATTTGAATAATTCATTTTACATTGCTTTAACAAGATGAAGAACTGATCAAATTTTCATAAGGGCTGGTCTAGCGGTTTTGGAGATCTAGTAAAAAAAAGTAAAAAAAAAAGCCATCTGGCGGTCAAAAATGATCATTAAACATATGCACATCAAATTATCAGATATTTTATAGAGATTTTAACAATAAGTATAAATTTTGTTTACATTCCTATGGGTTCCGTACCAATGCTTATCCGTTAGACGGCGCGCGGCGCTAACGCGCTTCTATATTTCGTCTCTATGCAGTTAAAGCAGTACGATCGCTTTGAAAAAAAGTTTAGAATTTCCAAAATATTTCAAAATACACTTTTCTTCAAAAAGTCTTTTTTTCAAAAAAAGTAAATTTTTGGTAAAAATTTATAGTTTCTCAGAAATCTAATTTTTCAGAGTAAATTTTTATCAAAAATCTTAATCTTTTTTGAAAACAAAATAATTTTTGGTACGGAAAGTTCCAGCAGTTTGCCTTAAGGCACGATGCCATACACCCCACTAGTTAATTTTAATTTTTACTAGTTGTGTATGGCATCGTACCTTAAGACAAATTGCTGGAACTTCCCGTAGCATAACGGAATGTTCGAGGAATATTAAATGTTTTGAAATATATGATTGTAAATACTGTAACATTATCTAATATTTATAAGAATTCTATAAACTGAATTGCAAAGTATATAAGAATTGCAAAATTATTTATTTAAAGTATATAAGTGAGCTTTAAAACTTTTGCGAGAATTAAAATTAAAATCTGAATTATTATCGATATACCAAAAAAAAAGAATTTTTTTTTTTGAAAAATAATCTTGTTACTTCTGGTGTATAGAGCAGAAACTTATGTCAAAATAAACTAATAATATTTATACGAAGCATCAAATGTATTTAATCTTATAAGAATAAATCGATATCGTTCTATTTATGTCTGTCTAATCAAAGATTTTTGTTTACCTCCCAGAAAAGAAAAACACGTTACCAAGATATTTTCACGGCTTGTGATGTTAATGAATATTATTATCACAAAATTTTCAAAACATATAAATCATTACTTCTCAATTAGAAGGTAATGAGTTATTTTTCAGGACTAAATACAAATTGTACACAGAATTACATCTATACAAAAAACATTGTTTTCATATTGAGTTTTAGGTGTTAGGAGGTTATCATCAAATGTCAGGGGAATGCCACAATCAACAGCTTATTTGATTAGATTATAAATAAGTTTAATTACACAATTAGTTATACCTTAATTTCTCGACAAGAACGATTTGAGATATATATAGATTTAAAAATTTAACGCATTAATCTCTTAAATGTTTGATTAGGTCACCCGATCTGTCGAAAAGTATGATGTTATTCCTCATTTTTAATAAACTTTATAACTGGAGTTAGAGTTGGAGTAAATAAATATTTATTTATAAATAAATATTAATATACTTAATATTATAAGTATAATAAAAGTAATAATGTAGTAAATTTTTCGTTATATTATTACTTTGGTCGATATTGATGCTTTTTATGTAAATGTTCAAATATTTGTTTTAAATTGTATATATTCATAAACTTTAGCATTAGCCATTATTGTAAATATATGGAGATTGGTTATATACTTTACATAAATATTTACAAAAATATTCCGCATATCTCGGTTTTATTATTATTATTAAGAGGAAATAAAATAAAAACTGGTCGCTCTAAATGTTTTATTTAAAAAAATATTTTCTTTAGGAAATTTACTTGTTTTAAGTTTATTGACTAAACGCAGATTTTTCTAAATAAATAAGCCTTTATTAACTTGAAATAATAAATATTTTTCTAGGTGAACGTCAAACAGAAATGCATTTAAAATTATTCCTTTCTGAGTTATTTTGTAATAAGATCATCAAATATCATTTTTAACTATATATCATTGCACATAGCCAGTAATTTAGTTGAGGGTGTCAGACCCAAGTAACAATTCACTAATATAAACAATTATGTGATTCATCAAACATCAAATCAATAAATAACAAACAATTCTAATTATTGTAAAAAGTTTTAAATCTAGTATTGAAAGAGGCAACGAGGAGAAGCTTATATCTGCTCCCGTTGCTACTCCATTTGTATATACGATTAAAATTATGGGATTATATAAAATAACAAATCGTTGCAAAAAACATATTTTAATTTCTAAATATCTTCAAAAATGTTTATAAATTTAGGCTATTTAACATAATTAGTGTACCGAGTACATTACTGTTTTAAATGGTTTTGTCCGTTATCATGTCTGGGACGTGGTGTTGTCTCGTTCAGAGTTGAATAAATGTACAGTTGATCAAATTCACTAACTTTTATTTAAAAACACATTACTCTTTATGACTCATGAAAGTCATGCCTTAGTTCAACTTTTACACTGAGGGTTTGATGTTGATATGGTTAGATTAATTATCCACAGAATTAAATAAAATTTAGTGTTAACAAACAGACTAAAATCATATATTTATATCTTAATGAACGTTTCAATAACAATCACAAACAGAATCAAAATCTTATTCATATTGTTAGCAAATCAAACTGTAACCAAAAATGTAATAATATAATGCTACATAGAGTTAGTTTCAATCATAAGTTTTAATGTTCAAAAGAATGCATTGGCTCGAAGGAAAGTGGCTAGAACAACTGGACCTGAATCAAGGGTCCCGGGCTCGATACCCACTTCGACCAGCCTTTTTTCAGGCAGCAGTGACAACGATTTTCACTTGGAAATGCCATTTATAGTAAAACAAATAACAAACGTAGGATCATAAGTTCTGATCGCTGTTCAAATAAAAAAAGAAAAAATCAAAATGGCAACCGTTTGAGTTGCCGTTTATGAAGCCAAGTCGTTTAATAAGTCAAATAATAATAGAAAAATTTAATATTATAATCTAGCAATTAATTTTCGTTACTAATTGTAAGCTTTAAAATAAGGACTTGAAGGAAACAATTGGTTTCACTTCATTCATGGTTTCTATTAAATTTTCGAAGATCAAAATATACCTTCTTCATTATTTTTCTAATGAATATCGGTAACTCAAGCATTAATAAATTGTAATAAATAAAAATATGTATTATTCATATTTGATAATAATACCTCTTGGAAAATCCTATATCATTCCGCAAGTTTAGCATGTAGACAATGATTGCGTTCATTTATCGCACTACTGTTTATTTCAAAATATGCTAGTGTTTCTAAAAGTTGTTATTAAAGAAAATTTCTAGTAACAAATCTGGAAAAATCAAAATATTATACAATATAAAAATATAGTAATAATAATGGGCAGTTTGAATAAAATGCATTGAAAAACCGAATTAGGCGTTCTTTTACGATATTCTCATTGTGTCTCATTATACATCAGATAATTAGTTTCTTTATTAAATTTATTATATATTTATGATAAAATTCAGATATTAATGTTAAAAATTTTTGCTGGAGTTAAACTATTCAAATAATCATGATAGTTTTAAAATATTAATTCAATAAATGCATTTTAGGCTGTATAAATTTTTGTAATACCACATTTATAACTATTATTCAAAGAGCATAGTTTAGTGTAATTGAAGTGAAATATTGAAAAATTATATAATATACTACAGTGCTATTAATTAAAATGAAGTTATGCACAAAAAACACAAACTTTTCGCCATATCTTATCGCATTAGATAAATAAATTCCTCGCATCATTCAATTTCCTGATATATACTCAATCAAACTTATAATATGTTGGATAAATCCAGAATTTTATAATCGCATTATTAAAAGCCTAAAATATTATCTAATTTAATAATGAAATTCGTATTTAAAAAAAATCATATCTACTATTGAAATAATATTTAAGTAAAATATATAGAATTCAAATCAATAAAAATTTGGAGAGATTACTTTGAAAAAATGTATTGATATTTGATAGTTTTTTGACGTTTATCTAGAAAGAAATATTATTTTTTATCGTATGTTTTTGTAGGCTGTGTGCATATAGCTGTGAGTTAGATAAGATATCGCAAGAGCAGCTTGCCCATACTGCACTCACAAGTGAGCAAACATTATAGTCGCAGATTGTTAAACAAGATTATTTTGAAATTAATTGAACGCATAATTTAAAAAGAATAGTGAAAAATATTTCTCACTCGCAATTTCAAACAAACTTGATAAATTATTTTGAACAATACAATTAGCGGAAATTGACAATAAGCAGCGGATAGTATATCTACAACAATTCGCATTCTTGACCAACAATGTTTAAACTTCATAGCCAGAAAAATGATTCACAAATGTCACATAAATCCGCAATATTTATCTTTCAAATGTAAATGACTGAAATGCAATTGCAATACATACAAGAACAATATAATGCATGTGAAAATTCATATGCGAGGCTTAAGTTTACTTTATATAAGAAATTGAAATTGTTATGCGTATATATTCTATAGGTGAAATTGTATAAATAGAATACTCAAACATATGTT